ACTGGTCTCCACGTCCCACAGTGGGATTCGAACCTGTGACGTTAGGATTGATCAACTCCTTACTTCGCGACTCTTGAGCAGACGCTCTAACAACTGCGCCACGCGGGTGACAAGTCAGATTGTAAAGTACATGTATATTTGTCGGGGTACAATCATATTTCAAAGCTAGCGTGTTTCACGCTCGGGTCTTAAGGTCTCATCCGACGGACCCGCAACTTTCACTTCAAAGTGCCAAACGCAAGGTGAAGGAACAGTTGCTACCTTTTCTTTCGACTTAGGTCAGTCGCGGCTGAAATTCTGACTTTCGACCTCCCGATTACTGAGCTGAGGTACCCTGATCGGTAGAGGACCGTTGCAAATCCGGGATTCGGATAGTCGTATTCGTGAAAGATCGAGTTACTTTTGTCAACTAAATTTTGACAACCCTATTTAGAACGTAATTCATCACCTGAACGGGTAGGCAGATCGTCAGCGATCACGCCACATGAAGTTTTTTTCATCGTGACCATACTGCATCAAACGCAACGAATCGTACGAAAACGCAGCTATGCGCATCCCTTCGTATCTTGGCATAAAATTCAATAAATCTATGCGATCAGCTATGGATGATCAATCATGGCGTTCATAACAGACTGCAGGACAGTTAAATACCAATTTAAGGCAAATGTTGAAATGATACATCGAATGACGTCATCAAAAGCGAACGGCTAGAACAGGAGACAAATGAGAGGATGGCTAATATCGACAAGATTACTTGAAAACTGGATATTCGAGCATGCGCCTATAATATCAATTTTGTCACTCATAACAACTGAAGATGCCATTAAGAGGAAAATCAATCGATATCAAGTGGAAAGCAAATAATGCAGTATTAGAAGCAGAACCAAGACTTCGTCACACAGAAACGGGAACCATCTGCAAAGGGAGACGAAGCTTAGGCACTGACTCAGCATCAAGATGGAAAGGATAATAAGCCAGAAATAGAGGGAAACAAAACAAGTAAGTAGATTCACGAACCATAAGAAGAAGAGGCAAAATTTACAAAGTCACTGGAGATGAGAAGCAGTGGGAAATTGGACTAAATGAAAAAACCGAAGAGTGAATATTTGACATGGAGTGAAATATACGTATCCAGTTAAGAGCAGTGAATAATATACTGCCAACACCAACAAAATTGGGGATCTAGAGAATGATTGGAGATCTATTGGGTCCATTATGCCAGAAGCTAGCCAATCTTCAATAAATATTGTCATCTTGACAGTTAAATCGAAGTATCTGATGTTTACCAAGCTTTTTTCACGATTTTGATGTTTTACGTTCCAGGAAAACGTCAGTACCGATGTCATTACGAAAACTGGGAATTCGCCACCTCCAACGGGAAGCGTCATTCTCGAGTTAGTTTTCGATACTTGCGAACCGAATTTAATGTCAAACTCACAACTTATCAATATTGTAGAGTATATTTAGTATTTACCGAACCGTCCGTGTGACGCATTGGTTAGAGCGTCCGCTCAAGAGTCGCGAAGTAATGAGTTGATCCTAACGTCGCAGGCTGGAATCCCACTGTGGGACGTGGAGACCAGTCCTTTGGATGAGACCGTACAAACCGAGGTGGCATCTCCATATGAATGAAAAAATTCCGAGAGGGACGCTAAACAACAATCGTTGTATGGATTCATTTATAGAATATACATGTATAATCAAATGAAAACATTTTATCAGACTCGAGAGATTTGTTTTCATTTCGTGCATTTCAAAGTCTTGCATCGAAATGTGGGATGATGTTTTCTTTTCATAGATATTGGTGAGTATTAGAAGCATTGTGCTATTGATAAAGTGTGATTTCGGCATTTAATTCTGTTTGCAAGTATTCAAAATCAACTCCGATCAATTTGAGACGATGAATTTGCCACTTTTCATAAATGGCGCCTGTTCTGATGTTTTCATGGCACGTAAAATATCAAAGCCTTGAAAAAAGCCTGAAAACGTCAGATACTTCGGACTACTTGACAGGTTGCCTTTACCCAGGTGAGGGTAGTAGGAAGTATGTCCAGGTCCTCAGGGCATTCGCCTACATACAGGAGGCAGTAAGGTGCGTAAGGTAAGTCGACCTCGAAAAGAAGATTACTTATATTTTCTTACCAATACCAAGACTACTAGGCAACCATACATCCTACTAATACTCAAAGTATGACAAAAATGTTGATGATTGAATTGAAGATGCCATGGAAAACTTGATGTCAAGACACAAAGAACGCAAAGTTGCATAGTATGATTATCTGGTGACAGAATGTAGGAAAACATGATTGCCGACGTGGAACTTCGCAATCAAATTTGGGTACGTAGTTTTCCATCCACCAAGTCATATTGGAATGTGTTTGCAACACTACATGTGTAGGAATAGATGGATTGATTGATTATATTTTGTTTAACGTCCCTATCGAGAATTTTTCACTCATAGTGAGACGCCACTATTTGCCGGTGGAGAGCTGCAAATTGTGTCCTATACTCGGCACTCAAATCCATAGAGCAGGGAGGGATCTTTTTTGTGCCAGCACCTTCTGCGACACGGGACCTCGATTTATATTATCTCATCCGAATGACCGGTCTCCACGTCCCACAGTGGGATTCGAACCCGCGACGTAAGGATCATCTCCTTACTTCGCGACTCTAGAGCAGACGCTCTAACCACTGCGCCACGCGGGCGACAGGAATAGATGGAAAGTTAAGGAAAACAGGTCTGGCCATTGCAGTAGCATCCGAGAGAGCACAGAGCTGGTTCTGGTTACGAAGAATACACAGTAGCTGCATGGAAGCCTGATTGCCGGGGGTAGAAGACTGACCACTTTCTGCTGACCCACGATCTAGAGGATGTTCCGAGTTCGGGAATCCAGCTGATAACTCAAATGTTTTCTAGCTCTGAGCAAATACACCCAAACTGTTTTCGGTAGTAATTATTGCTATTATCCGTTAAATTGACCTTTTTCTTGAATAAAGAGTGTATGCAAATTATGGGGAATAGGAGTTATATTAATTAACAAATACCCGGGTAATTTATTAGCTCTGAAAGTCCGGTCCTTCATTTCTGCAATAAACAAGAACTTCTGCGTGCTGTCAGATCTTTGACCTATCTAAGGGATTTGATTTTAATGGTTGATTAGACCTCTGTGATTTATCATCTTGATAATCATTTATTTGTTCATTGTAGATAGTAGTTAAAGAACCAGATAATCAATCCATATATTTAATGTAACTATAAAAGAGAGGGCAAATTTCTACAAGAGGACACAACAGAATGTTAATATAGTGCTATAAAAGTGAAAGAAACATCTCGCCAACGCATCGCGTAACGAATTGTTCTTCCTTTGATTTCAGATAATTTCATTTTATGCAGTATCCAGGAGAAATCGTTAATGCAAGGTTAAATTATTGAAGCATTAAACAGAAATTAAAGGTATATATCACATATCTGGCACAACACCAGTGTTAATCAAAATTCAGTCGTCTGTATATAATTCTGACATTGGCAGCTACCCTGAGGTTTGCCCTCAAATCTAGTTCTCCAAGCATTGTTCTTCCACACTAATCATATTACCAGTATTTAAATGACAAGAACTTATTTTGCGTTCGTTGGTTCATGCAAAAAAATATGTCATTAAAATCTTTAATCACCCAATTAAAATTCAATCCGATGCCCCGAGGTGAATGGTTTTTGTTTATGTTTTACAAAGTTGCAGACGAGAATGGTCGTCCAGAGGAATGGATATTAACTACAGCCACACTCCGTAAGTCCTTCCTTTTTGATCACCTTAAAAATAAAAACTGATTAAGATAGGATATTTTAACATGTTTAATACAAAGGACGATGTAGATTGATTTGCTGCCCCCAAAGACAAATCTAATTAGAAACGCAGACATATTAATTTGAATACTGTATTCTGCTTCTTGAGATGCACTTGCCCGAATATATGCACAATAAATTTGTGCTGTTCAAACTTCAGCACACGGTATTAATTTTTGAAAGTTTTGCTTTTAGAGTTAAAATGTTTTTTCCCCTGAAGCAATAGAATAGATTTTTTTTAAAACGCAATCTAAATGTGTATTGACAAGTGTTTTTAATTAAATATCACCAAAAAGGACTTCACGACCCAAAAATGTTTTAGACATATTGCATTTAAAGATATTGATCCAAATTTCTATGCAGTCATTGATATGATTTATAATCGAGTATTGCATTACCGGTGTGTAAAATCTTTTCAATGCTAACTAAAACCTTTACAGCTATTATAAATTACTTCCCATGCTTTACCAAGTCTCGTATGTTTCGGGTTAAAGTTAAAGTTTTGGGCATTCCAGTCTTCCCGTAACGTTCCATCCGCCATTTAAAAGATGCAGAGATACTCTTCACAGGGATCTTTTGTACTTATCTAAGTATGTTTTACGATAAGACATGTTCGAGTTTGTCATTTAAGCAAAAATGACTTCTATACGAAAACGTAAACTCGTCTCCTCTTTTGATTTCAAATACCCACAGGCATATAAAAGATTCAGTTTTCATTACAGGGTCACCATGGAAAGTTTAGAACGCCAGCGCGCCATGGCGATGCCCAGGTGTAACACCCCAAGCGAGGCCCCGCCTCTGCCGGTAGGGAAAGAATACCATGCATTTTTTAGTTTTCATGGCGAAAATCCGGATTATAATTGGGTGAAAGCGGTGACGAGAGAGTTGGAAAGTCGTGGATTCAAATGCTGTGTGTTCCCGCGGGACCTAGACGCAGGAAGGTCCCTGTCTTATAATATCAAACAAATACTGACTAAATGCTTGAGAATTGTTACTGTTTTATCCTCTGCTTATATAAAGAACGAATGGTCACAATTAGAAATGGAGATTATTTCACTTGGAAAACTAGATGAATTAGTTTTTATTCCTGTGTTAATTGAACCTTGTGATATTCCGCCATTCCTGAAATACTACAGGTACGTAAATGCAACGACCGCAAAAGAAACTTGGTGGAATATGTTTTATGAACAGGTCCGTGGAAATGCTCCTCGGCTCCCCCCGCGTAAGAAGTTCCACGCCTATTTCGCCCATACTCCATCGGATACAAAATGGGTGACTAATATTGTAGAGCGCCTAGAAAGCCCACATAATAATATTATTTGCTGTTACCCCGCACGGGATTTCAAACCCGGAACCTCCATCAATGAGTCTATCGACACTGCCACTAAGAAATCTGTGAAAGTGGTTCTCGTCCTATCCAAAAACTTTTTGCTGAATGAGTGGAAACGGTACTATGAAAAGAAATTCAAACATTTAAAGACTATCCCAATCATCATATCAGACTGTGGATTGCCCATTGCACTGGACGACATCGTCTGTATTGATGCCCGTAATGTTGAAACTGACTGGTTTAAAGTGTTATTACGAGCCATCAACGAAGAAGGTAATTTTTATATTTAGTCTTGTGGAAAGAGTATTTGGGATCAATGCCTTTGCGAAAAGTAAAACAATTAGAAACAGCTAATAAAATTGGTTTAACTACACTGTAATACATGTAAGAAACCGATTCATGCTAAACATGTGTTGGTATGTTGATGATAGGTACTGAAATCTAAAACCTATCTTTGATACTGTTACTGATATGTTTTTGGAATCCTGATGATATTGTTACTGTTAAGTGTTTGGTATGTTGTTGAAACTATTACTGATTATGTTGTTGATATTGTTACCAAAATGATTTGGAGTATGTTGTTGTTATTGTTACTGATATGTTGCTGGTATGTTTTTTATATTGTACTGATATGTTTTTGGTATGTTGATGATACTGGCACTGATTGGTTTTTCTTCTTCCTTCAGATCTGAGTGCTGATGACGACACAGTGACCAGTACGAGTCAGTTTATACGAGATGAGGTCATCTACACACCTGCAGCAGGTACCAAAACTATCAGTCATGTAGTTCCCTGTCTTCACAATTAAGCCAACTGGTTATCGGTCCGTTATATTCCTCACAGAGTAACGAACCAAATATTTTTGAATAAAGACATACTTTGCAATTTAAAGGGTGTTTTTTTTATTAAAAAACAATGCATATTACTGGGTATCTGGAAATGTTTGAATTTCTTTTTTTCCTTTGTTTCAGGGCCATCAGTTGACCTTCCAACAAGTACTGCCCTTTGACGAGATAACTAGTGCCAAAAATACATGCGATATTATTAACATTATGTTCAATGAAAAGTAAATTTTTCTGAAAGATTATTTATTCTATAAAAATTAAACAATAGTTTCATAAGGAGACCACAATGATAAGATATATTGGATTGTGAAAATGCAAACTTTCTGTCTTGCAGGAAACCTCTTTCTCTGTTCTGCAACTTTGAGTTCGATGTTCCTGAGTACAATTGCATGTGGAAACATGTACCCAAATATTCAAATACATGAATATTTTGTAGAGTTGCGCTTGTTCGTTTGATTTCATTATAGTAAGTGCACCTAAAATACTTGAATGGATGTTTCTGTTGTGCTATTTCGATTGGGTTTACAGACTACTGGACTAAGTCTCCATCCATCAATCGTCTTCGGAAGACGAATTTAACGATAAATATTCCTCGAAGGTCCGCTGGCGGCATTTCTCAAAGTGAGGCCGATAATGACGCCTTTTACCGTCATCCTCCTCGCTGTCGTAATACGGCGAGTCATACATTCCTCGGTAAATTTTAGGTAGCTGCAGAGAGTGCAGTCTTCTGATAAGGGTCCGCTCTCGAGTGGTTCCATCCAGTGATCTATGCCGTGTCACCGGTTTCTTTTTTCTCGGCGGAATATCAAAATCAGTGACTGTAAGCGGCACTGTAATGGTGGACACCATTGAGGGTGTTCGATCCAACAGGGTTTTCTTCTCTTTGTTCCATTTGATGCTGGGCAGCATCCGCGCAATGTTGATTGCATCTATAAACTTTCGTCTGGCTTTTCTTACAGAAGGCAAAATTTGCATGATTTCAGATTTTGTGTATCCATGATAAGCAAGCCAATCATTAACAGAGAAATTCTTTGTTTTATCGCGATGGAGGAGAGATGCATGTCCTTCGTTAGCAAGGATTTTCACACAAGCTATGTTGCATTCTTTTGCCGCCATCAGAATCGCAGTGAAACCCATTTTATTGCAATGGTCTACCTCTAAACCGAGACGCCGGAAGTGACGTGTTAGTATATCAATCCCCACGTCATTTCCTACTTTGGCACAGTAAATCAGCGGGGTATTTCCTACAAAAATCATAAGCACCACCAATTAACACAGTTCTCCATATTTAAAATCAAACAGCAAGTAATGACAGTGTTAATTTAAGATTAATAAGCTGAAAGCTACGGGTGTTTATAAAATTCGTGGATAATGACGTTATTGTCGAAGATATATATTTCATTGTTTGCCAAAATATTTCTTTACTAGTCAGATTTGTTTCGTTGGTTTTGTTCTTGAAGGTCGGAGATAGTGTGCATGTCCATGCAAGGATTAAAATGTCTGTCTAAAATGAAGTTTTCGGGTTCTTCGCAAAGCAAGCCGAAACTTAACAAAAATGAAATCTGTCTCAAATAAAGCATTTGTCGTCATTAATCTTTTGATATCTTAGAAGCGCATATTGCACAGATAATAACAAGAAACAGTATTTTTCAGGGGGGTTTGACAGAAATACTTGAGCGACATTGCGACATTGACAATCCGAATGGAACAGTTTCCAAACACACATGATGTAATCATAAAATGGAAACGATGTCGCAGACAAACCAATTACTGCTTAGTATTTAAACAACTGGAATGTTTGGGATATATTTCGTTCATTGACTTGAAATTAGTACCGAGGTATATGCTTTTTAGCGACGTGTACAAATTGAGAGAAATACAAGAAGTGGAATACTATTGCTATTTTATGTAAATAGGATTTAAGTTCCTATTTATGACATCGTTCTAAATCTTGCGAAAAAATTTTACACAACTGTGCAGCAGTCTGTATATACGAAGTGTTCAAATGAAGACGCTCGTATATTATTGAACATTATTATTATTATTATTATTTTATTTTAAAATAAATTTTACTCAGTTACATCATCACAACGTCAGGAGTTCTGAGTCAACACACTGCCGCCCAACTTAGAAATTAAAAGAAAAGTTATCGCAACCGTTGACTCAAATTGATAAGTTCTTGGGTTCGATCTGATTAAAATATTACAATTGAAATGTTTTTAAAAAAATCTTCCTTAAATTATTGATAACTAACATGCAGGGGGTACAACTCTATAAAATGATGCATTGTGTAACACAATTTGTGTTAGATATTTGATAAATGCATTACCTTCATTATCGGGAATATCTGGGTCGACCGAGGCGTGTTTCACGAGGATATCCACGATGTCATTACAGCGGTACTCACAAGCATAGCTTAAGGCAGTTCTTCCCGATTCTGAAACAATATTCACCTCGGCGCCATGTTGCAGTAGTAGCTCAACTATCACGTCACGAGACATCTCTTCCTGTAAAGATTTTAAACGAAAATCTCCATGAAGTATATAGTGTCCGTTTCATCTGTTATGAAAGAATTTAATGTGATGTGTTATTATCATACTATGGGTTAAAATTTATTTCCGAAACAAGTGCCTGTGTGTTATGATCGGTTATTTTATGAAGTGCATATGACGAATGGCCTGAATCGGGGTATAATAGCATGGTACATGTACATGTAAATTAAACAATTTAAAAATAAGGAAGCTGAACTTTTCATTTCTTCAATGAATCTACATAAATTATAAAGCGTAATGTAATATCGGTTTTACCTTCAAAAAGCATGAAATCATCAATGGCGTCTTGCCCTTCAGATCCAAAGCATTGACTACTTCTTTTGGTGCCGCGACCAGGATGAATTTTACCAATCGAATCTGTCCTTTACGTATAGCATTAAACAACATGCGAGCATCAGTGTATTCGTCAAGATTCAAATCTTTTTCCATCGTAAGAAGCGACACAGTTTTCTTCAGAATGTTAGGCTGGGCCTCATGCGACTTTGCAGAAAATATTTTCACTTTGTTTGCAGGTCTATTCGTCATTGTTTTATATCGTCTAGTATTTTTCACAGTGTATGTGGGTTGTTTTCTCGACTTATTACTGGACATGTTTAACATTGACGGCAATATAATTTCTACTACATTAGCCAACCTACAAGCTTTCAGTAATGAAAAATATGGCACATGTTCCTATTCGTGCCAAATAAAAAAAAAAAGCTCAATAGATAATTACTTCTTTTTAGTACATTTTTGATTAACTTTATAATGTAATTGCATGAGTATGTTGTTTCTTGCCAAAATGAAGTAAGACGTCGATAAATGTAATTTTCTCAAGCAGAACATAAAAGAAAACGACATATTATCAGGATAATGTATAATTAACTCTGTATTACTTACAGCTAACAAGTTCACTGGCATTAGAAGGTCAATGTGTCTTAGAATGCAACAAATAAAAAATCGAAACGTGCAACGTTACATTAATTTAAAAAAATATATATCATTTAAAATATATTAAGGCATATTTCTAACAAAAATGTTCTTGAAATAAGTATTTGTTGGAGTTAAAGAAAAAAAAAATAAATTTAGAAAGATAAGATTGTAGCATTGAATTCGGCTACGGTACTGATAGTTCCTTATAATAAACGAGTAACGTCTTTATTTCATAATCTACATGTAAATAATTATATTATGTACATGTTCATCAACTGTTTCTGATGAAACCTATTTAACTGATTTTCTGTTTCAATTTTTGGTAACATCATTTGTTAGTTTCACTCACAAAGATTTAAAAAGATATGACGTAAAACATAAAATTTATTTTGGATTGCCTTCGGCTTCTTATATATTTGGACCCCCTATACTCTGTTGAATAAAGGGTTCTAAATCCATGAAATCCTCATAAAGTTAAAATCTAAAAAAAAAAAAGCACCAACCACATCGTATTTATATTCTTAAATTTAAAAAAGTGTTGGTGGTAAAACAGGGGAACACTGACATTCCACTAGGATAGAAAAAATAATTGAAACGTTTTTAATTAGTGATAGTGATTTTTGTTCATCAAGACAAATGCATTGTTTCTTTGAACATTTTACAGAGTGTAATATAAAATGGCTGGTTCTCTGTGCTGAAAATTAAATACATTTGAACTTTGTTATCGGGAAAACTATTACTTCAGACATCAAGGATATGTCAAAGTGAGATAATATTTCATATTTTATTTCACAAAATATATCTTTAAAAAAGTGTATATACTAGCAACATAAACAAATCAATATGGAAAAACAGCATTCATTCACTCAGAAACACATATGTAATTTTAAGGAAGGAATCTCAAATACTATCTGGAAACTGGAATGCTCTGTAAGTTTTGAAAATTAAGCATACGATATGATAAGCATATGATATACATTTGATATGAAATATGAAGTCTACTAATATGATTACATTGATGGCATGAATCTTGTTACATCACGTAATGATGAAGTAGCAGACTGTATGGCAAATATTATGGCTGCATAATGTTTTTTCACAATTTCCCATCGTTCACTTTCATTTTCACTTCCGATTATTTCAAAAGTTGTGTCTGATAATCCAGGGAAACTGCTTCCAGCGTAGGCGTTTACACTACTCTCAGCAAATAAAACGTGTCTACAAAATTTAATGTACACAGAATTAAGAGAAATATATGTTACAAATACACAACAACGTAAAATATGTCTTTAGAAAAAGAAATACGATTAAAAAAAAAAATATCTTGATTCCTCTTTTATTTCTACCTCAATAAGTAAAAAAGAGTTATGTTCCATCACGTGCATGTATAAGAATTACATATATATATATTTTAGTGTACCTGGCCTGCGGCCTATTAGGCAGACCTGCTGGGTCTGTGAACGCACGGTCTAATTGTAACAGTTGGTCATTGATCTGTCGTATCGCATAAGGTCTACAATTATAACATGATATTTATTTATTCTCAGAAATAGAAAACCCATTACTTATTTTCTTAAATTCAGTCATTCACAAAGGGCTGACTTCAACAAGTCATCTTAATATTATCTGTGACTATTCATCATAAATTATTCATCTAGTGGTTTACATATGCAAAATACAGAAGTTTGTACTGTAAATGCATGTGTATGATTATTAAAGCTACTTTAATATACATTTATGAATTTATCAATGAAAATATTATTTACATTTTGTACAAAATCTATACAGATTATGTAGGGCTTTTTTTACTTATTAAATGCGATTAATGTTGTTATTTAGGCGAAAAATCTTACTTTGCTTTATCCACTTTCTGTTGCATACTGTAAAATGAACTAACTTCATTCGAGAAATTAGCAGCAGCTTCAAAAAGTTTATCTGCAATTAAATAAAATAATTCATTGGCCTAAACCTGTCACTAGGCAAACTAAACTACAGTATAATCAAATTAATCCCTATACTAAACA